GCTCTGGATTGGGTAGATGGACACTTCCCAACATAGCAAAGGTCACACCAAAGTGAACCTTCCCATCAACCAGACCCAGCTGGGGCTCTAATACCAATGAAGGTAAGGAGGCATTGGAAACTTCTTTCCAAACATCATTGTGAGGATTAAATGTGGCAGCCATAAAACTTACCAACTTATCCAAGGTAATTCAGGATACTCAAGAACCTGATGACAAAGTGTCCACTGAGGTACTGGAAAGGCTCTGTGAGGCACAGCAGGTTATTTACCCCCATATACCTAGATGCCCCTGAAAACTGGTGAGCCACTAATATTGCCTTTGTCATGCTGTTGGCCCTAGACATAAGGAGAAAGAAAGCTTCAGAAATTAGAGGATGTGACAGTCTGAATGTAATTGGCCCCCATAAACCCACAGGGAATGGTCCTAATGAGAGGTGTGGCTTTGATGGAGTAGGTGGGGCCCTGCGGGAGGAAGTATGTCATCGTGGGGGTGTGCTTTGAGGTTTCCTATGGCCAAGATACGGACCAGTGTGTGAATCCTGCTACCTTCTGATCAAGACCTAGTCAGCCCCATGTCTGCCTGAGGGCTGCCACGCTCCCCGCCATGACGACAATGGACTGAACCTTGGAACTCCATGGTCATGGTGTCTCTTCACAGCAATAGAAACCCTAACTAAGACAAAAGGATTTGAAGGGATGAGTAGGTGGCAACCAACAAACTCTTCCATGTGGTGATGGCTGCCCTTAGAAAAATAGATGAGAGGAAATATGGGAAACAGACCATGAGAAAGGATTCAAAAACTCACCAACATTGTTAGTTGAAGCCCCAAGGTTGGAATTTCAACAAAAATATCCACAAAGCAGTGTATGCTCCAATATAGAGATGACCTCCTCATACTTTGACCACAGAAGGCCTTTTGGAATCCCTCCAAGCCCTAGGGTAGAGTCTCAGCCAAGAAGGTTCAGCTGTGTCATATACCTAGACTACAACCTAGAGGAAGGAAAGTAAATGCTTTCTTACAACAGGATTTTAGCCATCCTGCAAACCCATCTGGATGGGTGGGGGCACGACCAAGTATGGGAATTCCTGGGAGCATTTGGATATTGCTGGCTATGAAAATGGATTTGATAGCTAGCCAACCCCTTCTGTGTCAGCACCAGGGGTATGAAGACTTCTGAATGAACTGAGACTGAGCTGAGGGCCTTCTTCCAAGCCTTGAGAAGGGCCCTGGTGGCTGCCCTGGCCCTGACCCTTCCAGACATTAAGCCATTCACCTGTATGTGGATGAAGCCAAAGACATTCTCAAGTGTCCCGCGCTACCGTCTCGCCAGCAAGAACGACGCAGAACACTCGGATCCTTCTGCAGTAAAGCTTTAATGCATCTTGAGAGATAGATGATCAGCTTCTTAGAGGGAGACCCCAAGCTAAGAAACCCAGCCCCTTATATAAGCCTAGGAGCTCCGAGTGAGATGTGTAGAGCCGGGATTGGTGGTTTGCACATCACCCCAGATGACGTCACGGGAGAGGCACAGTTTAAACGGTTAACTCCAACTGACAGCGACAGTTAACTCCAACTGACAGCGACAGTTAACTCTAACTGACAGCGACAGTTAACTCCAACTGACAGCGACAGTTAACTCCAACTGACAGCGACAGTTAACTCCAACTGACAGTGGATGTCAGCGCCATCTTCTAACGGCAATAGCGATAGCGAGGGCGGCTCCTCACACTCAAGGGTCCTCAGGCAAACTCTGGAATCCTGGAAAGACTGGTGGCCTAAATGTGATCAAGAGACTTGACCCAGTTGAACCTGATGGTCAGCATATACAAGGGCTACAGTTGCCACCACCCTGCTGGTAAGAGCAGCCGACAAATTAACGTAGGGCAAGAACTGTTCCTGACAGCCCCAAATTCTATTGAGGCCCTCTTGAGGAAGCACCCAAGAGATGCTGTCTAATGCCTGGGGTGGGTGAGGGGACCACACTATTCCCCAAGCAGAAATGTCTAATCATTCCCTTCTCAAGTACTTGCACGATTAGCAGGGACTTGTCAGGCCAGTGACCAGCTCTCTCCTACCGCTGAACCGGCTCACCAGTTACAGCCAGACTTAGTTTGGATAAAATGGATTCCTACCAGGACCATGGAACCTGTCTGGAAGGGACTCTACCCAGCCATCCTCACTAATCCAACCGCAGTCAAAGCAGCTGGTGTTATCGCTTGGAGTCATTACTCTCAACCAAAAAAATAAAAAGTCACTGAAGAGAGATGACAAGTCACTTGGACCTCAGACCCCTTAGAGATAAGACTGACCAGAGTTTATTTACTAAACGGCAAAACACAGTTCCTATCAGCCCCAAACCCAAACCTGGACATGGGAACTCGGAAAACTCACGGATAAGAATTCTTTTGTCCCTTCCCGTGGTGAAACAATATGGATCAGTAAATCAGGTTATGAAGAAGAGAAACTAGAAAAAGGCCTTCAGGGATTACAATTTTATGCATGGTGAGCTGCCATGCTAAGGACAAGGTGCCTACATATAGTCTTCTTCACTCTACAAGGTGCCTACATATAGTGCTTCTTCACTCTACAATAAGGTTTGTTAAGATGCCCAAAGAACCAATATTAGCCTAGAAGCCTGCATATTCTTTCATGTCCCTGAAGCTACCTACCTGGCTTGCTTGTACTAATGATTTAACTAAATGTGCCTCCTCCAAATCACTGGGGAAAAAAAATCACACCCCTACCTCTATGTATATTGGTCTATTAGTTTATATGTGCCTATAATAAACAAGAGGGGAAAGCTCATCCTGGCCTTTTCCAAAGGGACCCATTTCAGCCCTGTCCGAGAAGAGGAAGGAATCGTCAGCCAGTGCAGCTGCTATAGGCACCTCAGCCTTGATTATTGGAAATCAAAACTTTAGGGAACTCAGTTCCCAGATACATTCAGACCTAGACCATTTCTAGGCTGGAGAGCCTAGCTGACTCTCTTGCAGAGGTAGTCCTACAGAAGTTAAGGAGGCTAGATCTATTTTTCTTTCTTTCTTTTTTTATGAAACAGAGGACTTGGCATGGCCTTAGGAGAAACTTGCTGTTTCTATGCCAACCAACAGGGGTAATTAGGGAACCCTTGCCATGGCCAGGGAAACCCATAAAGAAAGGTGACACAGAGCAGATAATTGTTATCAGTCTGTTTACCTGGTCCCCCTGGCTGACCACCCTAACTGTCAGCATCAGCCTGACTGTTGAGTCTTATTCTGACCCAGTTAACTGGGACACCCTGCACCCTGAACTCAGTTAAGCTACTGGTCCTTAGGACCAACCATGCCCCCACCCCCAGAACAGGACGAGTCAATGTGTCAGCTCATGCCCATAGAGCCAATTAGGGAATGAATATGACAGGGAAAGATAGTGCAGGGGTTCCTCTATCTTGTATTTTTGCTGAGGCCATTTTAGATTTGATCTCCTTGATGCAGAATCTTGTGGAAGATTATCAAGCTCTATTCTAAGAGCCTGTGTGAGGTCAAGATGCCCAGCTGATTAATGCATGTTGGCTTCTGTTAAACTGCCTGCTTGTGCAAACCTCTTCCAGCTAAACTGCCTATCTTAGCTACTGTTAAACTGCTTGCTTGTACAAACACCCCCCACCCCTAGCAACTGACAGGCAAGGTAACAGGATGTGGTTTTTTGCCTTTAAAAGCTCCTAAAGTTCAGAACAGTGGCTTTCAATCTTCCTAATACTATGACCCCTAACCATAAAATTATTTTTGTTGCTACTTTGTAACTGTAATTTTGCCTCTATTATGAATTGTAATGTAAATTTCTGATATGCGACCCCTGTGAAAGGGGCCCAAGGTTTGGACCCTCAGGTCGAGAACCACGGGGAGGGGGGCTACATTTGCACCCTGAATACCTGGGTGTAATCCCAGCCAACTGGAACAAAGACTTTAAATACAGTATAGGTGACTGACTCGTCTCTGGTGGGCTCCTCGTAACAATGGAGACCCATGAAAATAGTTTCCTATGACTGAAGACTGTTCTAAGACCGAGGTAAGTGAGTATAAGACACACACAATCTCATCCCAACATAGTGTAATTTAACATACTAACTCAAAGCAGCTACTCCCTTTAAAACAGATGTTAAAAGTGATTGGCCACCAGGTGTGATGGCTCGTGCCCGTGATCCTCACTCTCAAGAGGCTGAGGCGGGAAGATTGCTGGCTGTGAACAAGTCTGGACCGCTACATAAACCAAACCAAACACACACACCAACTAACAAACAAAAACACGAATAGAAACAGATTTCTCTTTTCCAGTTATTTCGTATTCTTCAAAGACGTCAATTTGCCCAAATATTCGCAGTATTAAATAGATAAGCTTCCAGCGTCCTCCCAGAAATTACTGCACTTTAAACGCTTTTAAACCTGTTAACATATGCAACGGGAACTACCTGTCAAAAACTAATTACCCAATAACACCACAAACGAGAAAGTAACTTCCAACCGCTGCGTACAAGACGCTCTGGAAGTCCATTTACTTTCTGCCCTTTATCGTGTCGCTCAAAGCATAATCTCCGAAAGCGGCAGACAACAAAACTCTTTCTCCCGGCTCCTTTGTCCCCAACGGAGGGGGCTAGAGGAGAGCCAACTCATTAAGGTAAAAGAGCCCCGAACGCACAAGATTCGAAACAGACGGCGACCAGTCTGCAATCAATCATCGGAGAAACTCCCCATCCCTTCGTCTCCATCCTTCCCTCCCCACCCCCCCGCCCCGTCTCCTCTCCGGCTCGCATAACCCGGGTGTCCACGAGCCGATCCGGATCGTAGGCACCGGGACAAAGCTTCGCGGAGGCAGCGGGGAAGCCGCAAACTCGCCGCAGCCGTCCAGACGGAGCTCCTCAAAAGTGAGGGACCCGCCAAGTCAGCCCGGGCCCTCCGCAGCCCTCCCCGATCGCGTGACAGCGGGTCGCGCCCGCCACCGCGCGGGGCCCCCCTCTCTCACCTTGGGTAGCGAATGGCGAAGGACCGCCGGCCGGGGAGCCCGGGGCGGGGGCGGGGACGGGCGCGGGTGGAGGGGTCTCCGCCGAGCCCAGCGCGGGCGCCGCGAGCATGAGGTAGCGCTGGGGCGCGGGCAGGCAGCGCTGGCAGAACGAGTGCAGGCAGGGCAGCAGCTTGGGCGCCCGGCTCTGGATGTTCTGGTGGCACACGGCGCAAGTGTCCAACAGGTTGAGCCGGGCTGCCTCGCCGCCGCTCTCGGAGTCCGGGCCCTGCCGGCTCTCGGCCTCGTTCTCCCCGCTCGCCGCCGCCGCCGCTGCGGGGCCGCCGGCCGGAGCCGCCGCCGCCGCCACCGCTACCGCCGCCGCCGCCGCCTTCTCCATAGCCACCTCCATTGTCCTGCGGCCGCCGCCGGGGAAGCGGGAGCGCGCTCGCCGCCCGCCGCCCCCGACGACCTCCGCCGCCGCCGCCGCCGCCTCCCGCTGCTCCTCAAGAGGCCGCGCCGACTCGCGGAGGGAGCGCAGGGAGGAAGCCGCCTCCCGAGTGGCGCGGCCGGAAGACGCGGAGCTGTCAACGGGGACCGGGTTTCCCGCACCGCGCCGCCGCCGCCGCCGCCGCGCCGAGCCGCCAGGCAAACCGCCGCCGAGCCGCTCGAACCCGCCCAGCGCGCCCTCCCGCGCCTCGCAGCCTTTCTCTCGGGCCCCTTGGACCACCGCGGGCCCCGCCCCCACCTCCCTCTCCCAGCAACCGCGGCGACGGCGAGCGGCGCGCCAGCCAATGGCCGCCGCGCCTGCCCAGGGGGCGGGGACCGCGGGAGCCCGCGAGGCTCGGACGGCCCCCAAGCGGGAGGCTGCGAGGGGGCGGAGCCAGCCCCGGCTCTGGACGCCGAGGCTCGCGGCCGCTGATTGGCTCGCTGTGTGTGTGTGTGTGTGTGTGTGTGTGTGTGTGTGTGTGTGTGTGCGCGCGCGCGTGCGTGTATGTATATGTGCTGTGTATATGTGTGTGTGTGTGTATGTCTGTGTGTGCCCGTCCACTGAAGACAGTAAAGGGATCGTTTGTTCTTGCGTGTGCGGGTGTGTGGCCGTGTGCGTGTGTGGCCGTGTGCGTGTGTGCGTGCCCGTGTGTGTGCCCGTGTGCGTGTGTGTGTGCCCGTTTCTGAAGATCTGATGCTAGTAAAGGGATCGTTTGTTCAGGAGCCGGAGCAGGCGCCTGGTTCGGCCCGCGGCTATGGCCCCGCCTATAAGGGGCGGGGCTCCACCTTGGCTATCCAACCTGGTTAATTAAGAAACTCCTTTGAGAGCTGCTTTTGCTGCGGGAGACCGCGAAGGAAAGATCGTGGGAGGGTCCTGGGAGGGCGAAGAAGTAAGTAACGTGCAAATGAGAAGAGAATCAAAACACGTTTGTGCAAGCAAGCAAGCGCACACACACACACCCTGTATGAAAGGGGGAACGTGCAGGCAGCTTGAATTTTTTGTGGCCTGAAAATTCAACTCTAATGAATGAATGAGTATAAGGAGAGAAATTGCAAAATTATCGGAATTCTTTAAAATTACCCCGTTAGGAAAAGGTGAAATTAATCTTGCTTCTTAAATGAGTAAAAGCAGTTAATTTTTCAAGAATTAAATAAAAGATTTGCAAACGTTTTAACTACATGAATATTAAACTATTAAAAGGAACAAAAAGCCGGGCGTTGGTGGTGCACGCCTTTAATCCCAGCACTCGGGAGGCAGAGGCAGGCGGATCTCTGTGAGTTCGAGGCCAGCCTGGTCTACAAGAGCTAGTTCCAGGACAGCCTCCAAAGCCACAGAGAAACCCTGTCTCGAAAAACCAAAAAAAAAAAAAAAAAAAAAAAAAAAAGGAACAAAAAATCCAGACCTGGTAGCATACACCTGTACTCCTAATATTCCAGAGGCTGAGGCAGGAGAATCACTACAAATTCAAGATCACTCTAGGTTATATAGTAAGTGTAAAATCCCGTCTCAAAGTGGGGGGAAGAGCTCAATTCTAGTTTGAGCTTCAGTATTGCATTTCATATCTCCCCTCCCCCACGCTTGTTACCGGAAATTCTGGGGGGTCCCAAGGGATTTGCCACCTGTTGCTAGGGAAATCAGAGTCCCCTCTTGAGGTTCTTGATCTCATTAATAAAAGAATTTAAGAAGAGCCTCAAAAGGGAAGCTGGAGGGAGTTTTACTAGAGTTTAAAAGAAAGAAAAAATAATAATGAAGGCAAGCTATAAATCTTGCCAGCTGCCCAGAGGAAGACGGAGAGGTGGAAGAGAAAAGCCATGCATTTTTTGTTAGGCAGACTTAGAGGTCAGCAGAGTGGCTTACAAGCAGCCACAGGACCAGGAGGGGAGCTCTAGGGGAAGAGTAAGGAAGCCTACAGTACCAGAGAACTTCTATTAGGCCAGCATCAGAAAGATGAAGAAGAGAAGAAAACGGAAAGACGGACGTTTCTGAGTCAGAACTCCTGGGGAATTTGGAACTGCTGCACTAGAGGCCAAGAATTTTTCGAAGGGAAAGTACATTATCTCATTTAAGGGTGGATTAAAGTGCACCTGCCTTCCTGAGGGGTGGTTCCTTAGCCACATGATTGTTGGGCACAGTTGGATTAGGTTTAAAAATGAAAACAATGGTAGGTCTCCACCCCAGAGGTAGAGTCCATTGCTTTTTAGGCTGGTAGGCAACATCTTTCCCTTAATGGCTCTTAATAAAGATAATAGAGCCGGGCTATGGTGCCAAAGGCCTTTAATCTCGCACTTGAGAGGCAGAGACAGGTGGATCTCTGTGAGTTTGAGGTAAACCTGGTCTACCAAGCGAGTTCCAGAGAAACCCTATTTTGAAAACCAAATAAATAAAATAGAAATTACATATTCAGTTAAAAGCTGGAGGAAAAGCTAGGTGTAATGGTGCATGCCTTTAATTCCATTACTTGAGAGGACGAGGCCACCCTGGTGTACACAGAAAAATCCTTTCTCTATAAACAGTGACAACAAAAAGCAGAGTAAAGCTTCTAACTGGAGCTTGAAGAATACAGGGAGAGGAGAGGAGCTTTGGTACACTCATGACTGAAAGACCAAATCATCATGGCCAAGTTTATTAAAGCAAGCTTTTTATTCATATACAAGGACTGCCTCCTCCCAAGGCGGGGTTCAAGAGGTCAACCTTGGGCATGAGGAAAATCTGGTTTTTATAGCTTAGGGATAGGAGGTTTGCAACTGGAGGATTCAGCAGGTAAATATTACAGAAGCACAACATAACAAGGTAGCCGTGACCTTCTGAAACAAAGGTGGGGTTGCAAGATGGTCATTACAACCCTTTTGAAACAAAGACATGATTGTGCTCTCCTGGAACAGGCTGTACAGAGCCATTTGTACTTAAGGTTACAGCTGGGGCATAACCCAATCCTTGAGAAACAGTGGTTTAATCATAAACGGAATGAACCCAGTTTGTCTTAACTGTAGATGGCTTTCACGCCAAAGATGGAGGCAGGCTGGTTCCTCAGTGCTTATGTGTAAGGGAAGTAATTCTGGACATAGCTCAGAGTAGGATATTGTTCTGTGTGCACGGCTTTTACTAAAACTGAGATGATCCTGGAGGAATTAACTAAATGACATAAGGCTGGAAAAACTGACATCAGCAACACCTCCCTGCTTCCCATGACAGTTAATAGGGCTCCGGGATCAGGTTCTGCTACTAAACTGTTGCAGGATATTTGGTCACACTGTGAACCCAGAGATTACATTACTTACTGGGAAAACCTGTTTCTAGTTGTGGTGTGGCTCAGCCCTAGCACACACCTTGAGTCCAAGAGCTTTCTGCTTGGATATTGTAAACAGGATTAAATAAAATCAACCATAGGTCACGAGGCAGAGTAAGCAACGCGTTGACAGAAAGTGAACATAGGATTACTAAGGAAAAAAACCATAGAGAGTGAAAGGAAGTGAGAAGGATGGAGAGAGACATACAGAGGAAGCGGAGGGAGGAACATTCCGTTTGAGGAGTCTGGCTTGAGATGGTGTAGGAGAAAAAGGGGTTTTGGGGACATCAGCTGAGGAGGGAGGGGGTGGGTGCTTTCTCAGGCTCTCTGAGCTAGGCTTTCACCCCAGCGTTGGACTCCCAAGTCTTTATACGATTGAGATTTTGTTAAAACAACACATCATGAAGCCGGGCAGTGGTGGCGCGTGCCTTTAATCCCAGCACTCGGGAGGCAGAGGCAGGCGGATCTCTGTGAGTTCGAGGCCGGGCTGGACCGATAGCCACCAAAACAGTACAGAGAAACCCTGTCTCATAAAACCAAAAAAAAAAAAAAACAAACAAAAAACAAACAAAAAAAGCATCATGATCTTCAATGGCTGTTCATTTTGTACAGAGCACCTCTCCGAGCCTTTGTAACATGCTTTGCCTATTTGGGGATTCGATCTTAGAACAACATTATTCACACACAAAAGGCATCTTGGGGGCTGGAGAGATGGTTTGTAGTGATATATTATTTATAAACTATTAAAGCTTGCCTGAGGATTCAGAAGGCAAAATCAGCCACAAGCCATAAAGCCAGGTACACACCTTTAATCCTAGCAGCCAGAAGCTAGGAGGTGGTGGTACACGCCTTTAATCCCAGGACTCAGGATTAAGATGTAGATGGCTCTAGACGGTAAATGAGCCTCGAAGATGATATCGAGAAGGGGGGTCAAAAGATACTTTATTAGAGAAAGAGGTCACGTACATGAGAAGCCGAGAACTGAGCTCAGCACTCTGGTCTCCGGACCTCGACCGGAATCCAAGAGACAGGGCTCCCCTATCTTCCTCCCCTTTATCCCTAGATTCTCCCACATACCTGTGACCATGCCCAAATGGCCGTGGTCAGTGCTGCAGGTACATGAGATCTCTCCTACAGATGGCTCTCTCTGAGTTCAAAGCCACCCAGGGATACACAAGATTTAATCAGTCTAAAAGAGTAACAGAGGCAGAGGCAGGCGGATCTCTGTGAGTTCGAGGCCAGCCTGGTCTACAAAGCGAGTTCCAGGGCAGGCTCCAAAGCCACAGAGAAACCCTGTCTCGAAAAACAAAAGCAAACAAAATCCAGATACATTCCAAAAAATAACAATAAGGAACCTGTGCTCAATACTTCATAAACAATATATCATGCCAACTGTGTAATATCTACACTATATTGGGTATAAGTAATCTAGATTTGATTTCACACATACAGGTGAATTTTTTTGTTGTTGTTTTTTGAGACAGGGTTTCTCTGTATTGTTTTGGAGCCTGTCCTGGAACTCACTCTGTAGACCAGGCTGGTCTCGAACTCACAGAGATCTGCCTGCCTCTGCCTCCCAAGTGCTGGGGTTAAAGGCATGTGCCACCAATGCCTGGCTAACAGGTGAATTTATATACATTATATGAAAAAATTTTGTGTACGAGAAGTAAGTAAACATCCACAGAATTTGGTATCTGTGGGTATCTTGGAACAAATCCCCATCAATATCTAGGGAAGCCTGTGTAACACGAAACATAAAAAACCCAGAGACTGATGTTGAGTTCAAGCTTCAAGCTGAAGATCAGAAAAGAAAAGCAGACCACCCCTAGCTCTTACCTCTATCTCTGTTCAACCAAAT